CAAGCGATTTGAGATGGAGCTATGCACACCTGTTGCCACCCCGCTGCCGCTGCAACACCTCCTCACAGCTCCAGCGGTACCCACACCAGAGGCCTGCTCTGAGCCATACCCGGAGCTTGTTGGGTCCCTCATGTACGCCATGATGTGCACCCGGCCAGACCTGGCCTATCCTGTCAGTGTCCTCTCTCGCTACGTGGCCCCTGGACGCTTCACTGACCTTCACTGGAAGGCAGCCAAGCGGGTGTTGCGCTATCTTCAGGGCACCAAGTCTCACGTCCTCACACTCGGTGGGCTCTCCCCTCCTCGCCTAGAGGGTTACACCGACTCCTCCTGGGCTGATGACCAGACCGACCGACGCTCCTCTCAGGGGTACTGCTTCACCCTTGGGAGCGGAATTGTCAGTTGGCGCTCCACCAGGTCGTCTGCAGTCTCCCTCTCCTCATGTGAGGCAGAGCTCTACGCAGGCACCATGGCTGCTCAGGAGGCTCGTTGGCTCACCTTCCTCCTCCAGGAACTTGGTTTCCCACAGTCCGCCCCTACCCTCTGGTGTGACAACCAGAGTACCATCCACATCTCTCAAGACCCTGTGTATCACACCCGCACCAAGCACATTGAACTCCGGCACTTCTTCATCCGTGACCTTGTCCAACAAGAGCAGTTGAAAGTGGAATACGTTGCATCTGACTGCAACCTGGCTGATCTGTTCACCAAGCCCCTTGGGAAAGTTCCCCACCACCGTCTCCTTGGCGCCATGGGGCTCTGTGCTCCACCCTCTCTACCCTGAGTTCGATTGACGCCTATGGGGGGGTGTTAGTGTTAGTCTTCAATCTCACAATTTGTACTTTGTATTTTCTATATCCTAGAGTAGTGTAGTTTGCACATTGTGTTTGGTTGGGTGTACACCTACATCCCAACCAAACCCAAATGTAATCTCCAACCAATCTCCAACCCACCAATTGGAGATTGCCTTGGGATTACCCCCAATCCCTAGAGATTGCCCCCGATTCCCTTCCCCATCCTTTTCCTACCCCTCTTGGATGTACTTAAAGAGCTTCAAGCTCATTACTAATGCATCGCTTCTAAGCCTATTTCTGACACCCATATTATTCCTCTCCACCACCAGACCCCCTCCCTCCTCCCACCCATCCTCTCGCTTGGACCGACACCGTCCTCCCTCCCCTCCTCCCTCCAGCACCCCTTCTCCCACCCCTCCCCACTCCGCTTCCGCCACCCTCATCTGCCGATATCTATGATCCCACTGCTCCAGCATCCCCTGCACACTCCGCGGCTCCCTCTCCCTCCTCTCCTTCCTACTCTCCTTCTCATCCATCCCAACAGCCGCAGCAGCAGCCACAGGGGCAGCAGCAGCAGCAGCAGCAGCCGCAGCAGCAGCCGCAGGGGCAGCAGCAGCAGCCACAGCAGCAGCAGCAGCAGCAGCAGCCGCAGCAGCAGCCGCAGCAGCAGCAGCACCCACAGCAGCAGCAGCAGCAGGGGCAGCCGCAGCAGCAGCCGCAGGGGCAGCAGCAGCAGCCACAGCAGCAGCAGCAGCAGGGGCAGCCGCAGCAGCAGCCGCACCAACAGCAGCAGGGGCAGCAGCAGTGGCCGCCGCAACAACCACAGGGGCAGCCGCAGCAGCAGCAACAACAGCCGCAGCAGCGGCCGCAGCAGCAACAGGGGGTCCAGCAGCAGCAGCAGCAGCAGCGGCGGAGGGCGTCTGCCCGCTCCTCACCCTTCCTCCTCCCTCGCATGCACACCCGCTCTCTTGATCCCATCCTTGGCACACCGCCACCTTCCTCCCTCCACCAGCTCGAGGATTCCCATGAGGAGTTCGCCATGGTCCGGCACCACACTCCCTCTATCTTCACACTTTACCCTGACCTCTTCGGCGCTCTGATCCTTAGCGCGATCTCCGCTCCCACCATCTTCGTCCCCACCACCTTCCAGGAGGCTATCACCTGCCCTGACGCTGACAAGTGGTTAGCCGCTATCTTCCTGGAGTGTGAGGCTTTCATTCGCAACGACTCCTTTATCGACGTTCCCCTTCCCCCTGACGCCAACCTTGTCGAGGGCAAGTGGATCTTTCGAGTCAAACAGCTGCCGGGAGAGGAGCCAGTCTACAAAGCCCGCTATGTTGCCAAGGGGTTCACCCAGACCTGGGCTGAGGACTACTGGTTCACATTTGCCCCCACCCTCAGGCAAGCCACCCTACGCACCCTTATGGACATCGGTGCGCGTGACGACATGGAGATTGACTCCATGGACGTCTCCAACGCGTTCCTGCAAGGCGAACTGCACGAGCGCATCTTCCTCCGCCGACCTCCTGGGTTTCATGCGGCTTTCCCCGAAAACACCGTCTGGCAACTAAAGCGCCCGGTTTACGGCCTGAAGCAGGCACCACGAGAATGGCATGCGAAGCTGTCTGCTACTCTCCAGTCCCTTGGCTTCTCCCCCTCCCACTCCGATGCCAGCCTCTTCATCCGCTCCTCCCCCAGTCGCTTCTTCATCTCCGTCTACGTCGACGACATGATCCTGCTCGCCGACACCAGGGCTGACATGGATCATGTGAAGCGGTCACTTCAGGAACGTCTCAAGTGCAAGGACCTTGGTCCGCTTCAGAACTACCTCGGCATGGCTATCACCCGTGATCGATCCGCCCGCACCATCACCCTCTCCCAGTCCCACTACATCGGCCAGGTCCTGGAGAAGTTCGAGATGGCACAAGCCAAACCGGTCTCCACCCCTCTCCCCTTCGGCCACCAGCTTGCGCCACCCACCTCCCCCTCCACCTCCTCCCGGCCCTACGCCGAGCTTGTTGGGTCGCTGATGTACGCGATGATGTGCACTCGTCCCGACCTCGCCTACCCTGTCAGTGTCCTTGCTCGGTTCGTCGGCCCCGGCCGCCACACTGAGGAACACTGGACTGCCGCCAAGCGGGTCCTCCGCTATCTCCGTGGCACCAGAGACCACGCTCTCACGCTGGGTGGATCTTCCCCCCCCCTTCTCTCTGGCTTCAGCGACTCCTCCTGGGCAGACTGCCAGCCAGACCGCCGCTCCTCCCAAGGCTATGGCTTCACCCTCGGCAGCGGCCTCATCAGCTGGCGCTCTACCCGCTCCTCTGCCATCGCCCTCTCCTCCTGTGAAGCTGAGCTCTATGCTGGCACCATGGCCGCCCAGGAGTCCCGCTGGCTCTGCTTCCTCCTGGCTGAGCTTGGTGTTCCCCAGCGCTGCCCCACGCTCTGGTGTGACAATGCCAGCACCATCCATCTCACCCAAGACCCCGTGTTCCACGGTCGCTCCAAACACATTGAGCTCCGCTATTTCTTCATCCGTGAACTCGTCCAACAGAATCTCATTGCCGTTCGTAAGATCGCCGCTGAAGCCAACTTGGCAGATATCTTCACCAAAGCACTCCTTCGCCCTGCGCACTCTGCTCTTCTCCGCCTCATCGGCCTCGCTCCCCCAGGCGCGCCTTGATTCAGGGGTTGCTTCACTCAAGCCTTTCCGCATCTCTGCAGGTTAAGGGGTTGTGTTAGAATCTATCTTCTTGTGTAACCTGCATAGATGTTATAGGTTAGGCTAGAGTTAAGCACCCAAACTCAGTTTGGGTGTACAAACAAGGGTCACCCAGTTTGTAGGTTGGAAACCCAACCTTGGTCCAATTATTGGACCCCAAAGGTTGGGTTGGGTAGAATTATTGGTTCACTCCAATAATGTTGGCCCAACTCCAACTTGGCCAACATTATTGGACCCCACCAATAATCCCCCAACCCAACTTCTTGGTTGGGGTCCAATAATGCTCACCTAGGCTAGGATCCAACCCACTCCCTATGTAAACCCCCAATCTCCTCAATTCAATCATCAACTTCTCTTCAAACTATTGTTCTCACAATGAGCAGCCGCAACGTGCGCCTCTCACCGGAGCACATGATGCAGGTGAGGCGAGGCCAGGCAGGTTCAGTGTGTTGGGCAGTGAGAGCATGGCACCTAGAAGGCGGATGGGCTGGCCATGAGCAGCCGCAACGTGCGCCTCTCACCGGAGCACAGGATGCAGGTGAGGCGAGGCCAGGCAGGTTCAGTGTGTTGGGCAGTGAGAGCATGGCACCTAGAAGGCGGATGGGCTGGCCATGAGCAGCCGCAACGTGCGCCTCTCACCGGAGCACAGGATGCAGGTGAGGCGAGGCCAGGCAGGTTCAGTGTGTTGGGCAGTGAGAGCATGGCACCTAGAAGGCGGATGGGCTGGCCATGAGCAGCCGCAACGTGCGCCTCTCACCGGAGCACAGGATGCAGGTGAGGCGAGGCCAGGCAGGTTCAGTGTGTTGGGCAGTGAGAGCATGGCACCTAGAAGGCGGATGGGCTGGCCATGAGCAGCCGCAACGTGCGCCTCTCACCGGAGCACAGGCAGCAGGTGAGCACAGGCAGCAGGTGAGCACAGGCAGCAGATGCGGCCAGCCAGGTTCACTGTGTTGGGCAGTGAGAGTATGGTTGGAAGACGAAGAGGTTGATGAATAGGTTCGGTCGATGGCATGCACACTAGGGGCTGTGCTGTGGTGATGTGCCACAGAATGCTACAGTCCACATAATGCTACAGTCCACATAATGCTACAGTTTACACAATGCTACAGTCCACATAATGCTACAGTCCACATAATGCTACAGTCCACATAATGCTACAGTCCACATAATGCTACAGTCCACATAATGCTACAGTCCACATAATGCCACAGTCCACACAATGCTACAGTCCACACAATGCTACAGTCCACATAATGCTACAGTCCACATAATGCTACAGTGCACACTATGAAACCGTACCAAAGCATGTGGCACACCCTCTTACTCCCTTCCTTCGTCATCCCCTTCCTCCTCCACCATCCCTGTGCTGCTGGATGGGCCAACTGCATGCCTAACCCTGCTGCCCTGACATGCTGCCTGTGGGGCCCTGCCATGCTGCCCATGTGCCCGTGCCATGCTGCCTGTCTGTATGACCCTATCCATGGTAGGCTCTCTCCATCAGCCGCGCGCTGCTGGCAGCCAAGGCAGCGTTGGAGGCAACTGACAGCGGGACGGGCGAGAGTGAGCGAGGCGAGGGGCGCGCACAGGCGGCAGAGGCGAGCGCGGTGGTGGAGAGAGTGAGGCAGACGGTGGAGGAGGCAGGGGGGCGAGTGGAGTATGTGCAGGTAGGCAGGGATGGAGATGGATGGTGACGGGGCTTTGTGGGTATTGAGACGTCTCAAGAGGCAAACTGTTGAGGCAGAAGGGCGAGTGGAGTATGTGCAGCTAGGAATGGGATGGAGACGAAGCAGCATGGGATGGAGACGAAGCAGCATGGGATGGAGACGAAGCAGCATGGGATGGAGACGAAGCAGCATGGGATGGTGACGGGGCTGTGCTTTTTTAATCTGGTAGCATAAGCTTTTTGCTCCCCTCCCAGCGCCCTCCACCATGCCACGATGTCACTGCACAGCTGCTACATTACTCGCATCACAAAAGCTCCGCGTACATGTGTGAATGTTCTTGGTGTAACTAATCTGTTGTGTGTGCATGTTGTGGTGTGACAGCTGGTGGAGCAGGAGAGTCTGGAGCCTATCACGCACATCACTCGCCCCGCTGTGCTGGCGGTGGCAGCCCATATCGGATCAGTGCGTCTCATAGACAACGTGGAGATTGATGTTCATGCATAAGTCATCTGTAGGCTTGTGAGTAAGACTCTGCCTACCTGAAATATTCAATACGGTAGATGGGTGATCCATAGGAAAGTTAATATATTCAAGATTCACGGGATAAGTGTGGGGTTCTGGTTCGGGCCCTCATGTTGGCTTTGGGTAAAACATCCAGGGTGCGGAATACTTGGCTCTGGCACGCCCTCGTTTGAAGGGTACAACACCCTGACTACCTTCGTTGGTTGCCGTGTTTGTCAAACCGAGGAATGAATGATGCATTGATGTTGGTTTGGGGTACATATAACAAACCCTAACTTTTGTACCCCCTAAGACAAACCTCACTACAGGCTACAACATTTGACACACCCCCATAGCCTAAGTGAGGGGTGTCTAGCAAAACCAAAAGAGTACGGTCATAAGACCAGTCACAAAGAAACAAACAGGCCCTACGATATCAGGATTTTTTTCCTGAAATTCCTGAATTTCAGGGATTCTGTTTGTACCTACCCTGATTTTCCAGTGTTCAGCTTTTTATGGGACTGATTTTTCAGCCTTTTCCTCCCAGATGACTCTGAACTGTCAGGTTTTTGTTTTGTAAGGACACTGATTCCACTATGTTGTACCGAAACTGACACTGAATGCAATTTCTACACGTTCCTAGTGTAGGGAATCTCAGATTCACGCGGTGTCAGCCCTGCCTGGCGGTGACTACGAGACAAATTTGCCCCGTGTTTTTTTAGGGCTGCTTTGTTGGCGCGCTTTCCATTCGTGGGGGGTTTCCTCGCGTTCGTGCCTGGTGTACCAAGAGGCAGTCGGCCGTGTGGTTTAGTAAAAACAGTCTTTTTCCTTAGGGAACACTGATGCTTCAGGGTTTTTTAAAAAGTGACACTGATTTTCCATGTTTTTTTTTCTAGGGGACACTGTCAATCAGGGATTCCCCGCAGAGGGACCCTGATCCCTCTACGTCCCTCAAAGTCAATCTGAGGGCCTGGAAACAAAGCTCAGGGTGGATCACAACGTCACCGCACACTCTGAGCACAAGCAACAGTGGCCACAAGGCCAGTCCAAGCAATAACAGAGATATATAGAAAGTGTACAAGCAAAGCAAACAGTGAACTCAAGACTAAGTAAGACGAAAACCAGTGTCAACAAGGCCTAACTGCACACAGCACCTGTGGTGGTCACAAGGCGGAAGCGCCTTGGTGAAGATGTCTGCAGTGTTGGCCTCGGACTCCACAAACTCGAAGCGAGCCTGTCCACGTCTCTGCAACTCTCGCAGAAGGAAGTACCTGACGTTAATGTGCTTCACTCTGCTCTCCAGTCGCGGCTCTCGACAAAGGAGAATCGATGCCTTGTTGTCAGTGAACAAGGTCGGTGCAGAGCTCGGCCGCTCACCCAGGTCGGCGAGCAAGAACGTCAACCAACGCAGCTCCTGTGCCGCCATGGCACCAGCGTAGATCTCAGCCTCAGCTGTAGAGGTCGAGACCGAAGAGGAGCGCGTGGACCGCCAGGAAACAGCTCCAGAACCCAGACTGAAACAGTACCCCTGAGTAGACCTGTGAGTCTCAGCGTCGTCAGCGTAAGAAGAGTCACAGTGACCAGTAAGTACGACAAACTGCTGCCCTCCAAGAACTACGCCTGATGTCGTCGCTAGGTACTTCGCCACCCTCACAGCTGCTGTCCAGTGAACAGGACGGTGTCTCCCTGGCGCAACAAAGCGCGCAAGGATGCTGAGAGGGAAAGCGAGGTCCGGGCGAGTACAAGTCATCAGGTACATGAGACAACCCACCAGCTCTGCGTAGGGACCACTAGGCTCAAACGGCTCGTCAGGAAAGGGTCCAGTGAGTCTGTGGTCAACAGCAAGAGGTGTGCGCTGTACTGTGGAGTTCTGAAGGCCGAACCGCTGAAGGACCTGCTACACCATGTGTGATTGTGAGAGTGTAATGGTGCGAGCAGCTCTGTCCCTGGTGATCTGCAGGCCAAGGTAGTGGCGCAGCTCACCAAGGTCAGTGCACGTGTGTCTCTTCTGCAGTTCGGACTTCACGTCTGCCAAAGCAACCCTGTCAGCACTAGCGAAAACGAGGTCGTCGACGTAGACCAGAACAAAGAACGGTGTGGAGCCACGACGAACGAACAGCGACGGGTCGGCAGAAGACGGCTGGAACCCAAGGTCAGAGAGGGTAGAGCGGAGAGTGTCGTGCCACTCACGAGGGGCCTGGCGAAGACCGTAGACAGGTCGCCTCAGCCTCCACTGGGTCCCAGGAGGGAAAGTGCCAGTGAAGGCAGAGGGACGACGCAGCCAGACCTCCTCGTGTAGGCTGCCCTGAAGAAAAGCAGTGGAGAAGTCGAGAGAGTGTAACTCGTAGTCTCTCTGTGCTGCTACGTGCAGTAACACCCGAAGAGTGGTCATCTTCGGGGTCGGCGCGAAGGTCTGAAAGAAGTCAACTCCCTCGCGCTGACTGAAACCTCTAGCAACGTAGCGCGCCTTGAAGACCGGAGGAGATCCCGGTGGCCGCTTCACCTTGTAGATCCACATGCCATCGACTACGTTCGTCCCAGGGGGAGGAACCTCATCGACGTAGGTGCCTGTGGATCTGTAGGAGGCCATCTCTGTGTCCATGGCAGCTCTCCACTGAGAGGCCCAAGGCCCTGACACTGCCTCAGCGTAAGTGCGAGGAGTCGGAATGTCAAGGGCGTCGGGGTCACCCTCAGGGGTGAGGAGCATGGCACAGAGATGAGGGGAAGCGGCTGCCAGGAACTCTAGCTCAAACTGCCTGTCCTTTAGGACGTCACAGCCAAGGGCAGACACACCCCCGACGGCCAGAGGACTGGTAGGAGCAGCGGCCACAAGATTGGTGGTGTAGTCAAGGCGGCGAGTAGAGGCAAACTCAGTGACCGCGGCAGTAAGAGCGGAGACAGAGGACAAAGAGGCACGAGGGTGGGTAACAAGAGAGGCGAGAACACGAGAGAGAACAGGACGGTACGTGCGGTAGTAGTCAGTGACAAGAGTAGAGAGGGAAGCTGTGAGGGCCGACTCAGGAGGAGAAGGAAGCACAGGAGGAGCCGAACGAGGCGGACTAGAACGCAACAAGACAGTACGAAGGTCAGTGAAAGGAACAGGGGACGAGGGACGAGCACGAGGAGAGCGACGAGTAGCCCAAGTACGAGACGGAGGAGGAGACGACAAAGGCGGAGAACTGGGGAAAACAGCGGGGGAGGAGTCAGGAGGAGGAAACGTGGGACCGTAGACAGGAGGAGAGGGGGAGGAGGGAGGAGAGCGAGAGGGGAGACCAAGGGTCCGAAGACCCGAGACAGGAGGAGGAGGTGGCTGCTGCTGCTGCTGCTGCTGCGGCTGGTGCTGCTGCTGCTGCGGCTGCGGCTGCTGCTGTGACTGCTGCTCCTGCTGCTCCAGCTGCTGCTGCTGCTGCTGCTCCTGCGGCTCCAGCTGCTGCTGCTGCTCCTCCAGCCGCTGTAACTCCCTCTCCTCTCTCTCCAACGCCAGCTGCTCCTCACGGGCACGGCGAACACGAGCCTGGTGCCTAGTCGGGTAGGGGTGGGGGGGCGGAGTAGTGTCCGGGGCAGCGGCAGCCCCAGAGTCCACCTCCGAAGCACCAGGCGCACCACCCCCAGAGGCAGCACCAACACCAGCTCCAGACCCAGGCTCACCAGAACCCGAAGGAGGCGCACCCTCACCCCCAGACAGAGCACCCCCAGTCAGTATCCGCGCGACTAGCACCAGCTCCCGAAAGACAAGAGTCCTCTGCACCCACCGGCTCAGCTCCAACTCCAGCACCCCCAGAACCAGAAACCGGTACAGGAACAAGCTCATCACCAACCTCTCGAGAACTAGCACCTGTGGCACGCTGCGAGGAGGACTGTGGGGAGGGAGGCTGTACCGGAGGGGCTACCGAAGGAGGAGGGGTAGCCTGGGACACACCTGACGGGGCTGGACCAGGGGGGGGAGGCTGTACCGGGGGAGCAGGAGGGGGAGCGGCAGTCAGGAAGAGAGGGGGAGGAGGAACCGGGAGACCTCGACTGGGGTACCTGACGTAGTACGGGGTGGACTCCTCGAAACGGACGTCACGGGAGTCAAAGAACCGGTGAGAGGGAGGGTGGTAAAAGGTGAAGTCAAAGGAGTTCTCAGGGAAACCAAGGAAGACACAAGGAACGGCGCGAGGCGAGAGCTTGTCCGCAGAGGTGTCGCGGACAAGAGCCAAGCAACCCCAGACACGAAACCGCGACGCAACACTAGGTGACCCGGTCCAAAGACTGATCGGCGAAGCCAATGGCCGAGAGACGCGTGGCCAGAGGTTCAGCTGGTGCGCGGCGTACCGAACCGCGTAAGGCCACAGAAAATGGGGGGCACGGGCGTGAGTCAGGGAGGTGCGGGCGATCTCCATGACCAAGCCTATGCGGCGCTCAGCAACCCCATTCTGCTGTGGGGACTCTGGAAGCGTCCAGGACTGACGAATGCCCTGCTCGCGACAGAATCCAGCGAGAATGCCGGAGCGAAACTCACCCCCGCGGTCGGAGTGAAGACAGCTGACACGACGACCACGAGTGTCCTCGGTGGTGAGCAACCACCTGATCAGTGTAGAAGTCACCTCAGACTTCTTCGCCAGGGGGAACACCGTGGTGTAGCGGGAGTAGTCGTCAACGACCACCAGAAAGAAACGCTCACGCTCAGGGCCAAGGCGAGAGGCGGGGCCCCAGACGTCCAAGTGAAGCGTCTCAAACGGCTCGGTGGCCGGACGAAGGGAGGAGGAGTGAGGGGTGGCGCGCAGCCGACCCTCGACGCAAGGACCGCACGGTGGTGCAAGGGACGGCGGCAGCGACGGCAAGACACGCGGGAGACCTAAGACCAGACGCTGACTAGACATAGCGCGCAGACGTGGAAGAGAAGGGTGCCCCATCCGGTGGTGCCACAGAACGGTGGGGTGGGCAAGCGACCTGCAGGAGCAAGACGCAGCGACTGGACTGGACGCGACTACCTGAGGGGACGTAACCACCTGGTGAGACGC